CGGGGGGGGGGTCCGGGGGGGGGGGGGGGGGGGGCCGGGCGGGAACACGCGGTTAGGAGGAGAGGCGGGCCGTGCGGTTTCTGCGGCCGTTGAGAACCCGCGGGGCCGTTGCCGGGCGACGCGGGCCGACCCGGAAGCCAACGAGAGGTCGCGCCCCGTTTCCGGCGCGCGCCCCGCCCCCCCGGCGGCTCTGCGCCCGCTTCGCCGCGGCTCCCGGCTCGCGATCGGGACCCGTGCTTTGAGGTCCGAGAGGCGCAGAGTCCGCTCTCGCCCGGCCTGCCGGCGCCTGCTCCCGCCGCTCGGCGTCACTCGGCCGGGCCCAGGCTGCTCCCCGGCCCGACGGCGTCCCTGCCGGCCCCGGGAGCTCGGTGCTCTTCCCGGGGCCAGGGCAGAGGGAGAGGGACAGCGGGGAAGGCCGGCCCCGGGGATGCTTTGTTCTCCAGTGGGGAGCCACGTGGGTTCTTGAGAAGGAGCCGTAGGAAACCCGCGAGTTTATCCGAAGGGTGGTTGGGGAGAGCGGTAAGGCATTTGGACAAGTTCTGAGCGTGGGCTTCAGCCACACTCTGCAAAAGAAAGTGAGCCTGGGGGCAGAAGGGGGTCCAGCAGTCCCCAAGGAGGGAAGGACTAGGTTGGACGGTGCCCGCTGACCTCTGGCTCCGCCCTGCAGCGTCCTCGGAGGCTGGGAGTGGGGGGCGCCCACCACAGCCCTCAAAACACCACGAGGCCAGTCCCGGGGGGTGGGGGGCGGTCAGGCACCACGAACCCCAACACCTGGAAATCTTTCTAGCAGATACTGGAGCAGGTGGTCCATCAGCAGCACAGTCTCTTCCCCTTGACTCTAGCTCTGCAGGCTCTGCTGGACCCTATAGTGAGAAACCCACCAGTGCTCAGCAGGCCCTGCCCTCCTGACCTCAGGCAGAGGAGGGGGCTCAAGGACCAAGCTGGGCAGAGGCGGTGCTTGCTACTGCCCTCTGGGCCAGGGCAGCCTTGGGAGGGTGGGCAGCTGCCCATCCGTGGGCCTGTTGGGAAGGCGACTGCAGAGAGGGGCTGAGACAGGGAGGAATGCGGGAGGAGGTCACCAGATGATAGAAGCAATAGGGCTAGGAGGGAGGGGAGGGAATCCAGGAGGACCCCATCTGAGCTGGGCTTCCAGGGTGGTGGGGTTGCGGGGCGTGCCCTCTACCCTGCACTTCCACTCCCTCCAGAGGAAGTGGGCAGCCGCTCTGGGCAGGGGAGGAGCCTGTGGCTCTCTGGGCTGACCCACACTGCCTCCCTCCCTCCCTTCTGTGCAGGCTGCAGCCGAGGAAGCCAACACCCTCCTGAACTCAGGGCAGCCCGGGCAAGCGCTGGGCTACTGCTCACTGGCGGTCCTCGCTGGGAGCAGCAATGCCCGTCACCTGCGCCTGAGAGCCACCTGTCTGGCCGAGCTGCAGGAGTTTGACCGGGCACTGGAGGACCTGGACCATGTCCTCCGGGTGGATGGGGGAGACCGCGACCTCCGGACGCGGGTGGAGGACCTGTGCTCCCAGGGCCGCCTGCTGCTGAGCCTGGGCGATGGGGCCAGGGCCACAGGGGCCTTTGCCCAGGCCCTCAAGCTGGCACCCACCCTAGCCCAGAGCAGCCTGTGGGAGCGGCCGGGCCGGGGCCCCACTACTCAGGCGTTCTTGTGCCATGGCCAGACCTGCCTGGGGGAGCAGCGCTATGCAGAGGCCTGGATGGCAGTGGAGAGTGGCCTGCTGGCAGACCCTGAGCACAGCGGCCTGAAGAGGCTGAGGGCAAAACTCCAGAAGGAGGCATCCTTGGGCTGCAGGCTTCACTGACTCTATGCTCTGGAGCCCCAGATAGGCGCCACCTGGCCATTCCGCCCCGGATGGGCTCCTAAGCAGCAGGATACGGTGCGCCTAACTGATGTAGATCAGACTCAGCTGAGAAGAGAGACTGCAGACTCACCACATTTTAGTTACCGAGAAGGTGTTTGTGACAGCATATAGATAGTATTACCTCATCTCAAGACAACAAAGCTATAAACTTTTTGGAGTTTCCTGCATGTGAAGCAGCTCTTGGGTCCAAGAGGAGATCACATCTGAAATCAAAGAAAAGTGAAAAACTAATCATAACAAAACCCGTAGAGAGAAGCACCTTCATGATGTAGCCCCAGCGGGACCCCGGGGAAGGTCCGGCCCCAAGCAGATTACTAAGCAATGGAAAGAAAATGAAGTACGTGTTCAGCTCAAGAAGTTAGAAAAAGACAATAAAACAAAGGAAATCAGGAGATAGGAATTAAGGATAAAAGCAGAAATTAGTAAGTTAGAAACAAAAGAAGAATAAATAAATACAAAATCTGGTTCTTCAAAAATAAAGTTGATGAGGGGCGCCTGGGTGGCTCAGTTGGTTAAGTGCTGCCTTCGGCTCAGGTCATGATCCTGGAGTCCCGGGATCGAGTCCCGCATCGGGCTCCCTGCTCGGCAGGGAGTCGGCTTTTCCCTCTGACCTTCCCCCCCTCATGTGCTTTCTCTCTCTCATTCTCTCTCTCTCTCAAATAAATAAAATCTTTAAAAAATAAATAAATAAATAAAGTTGATGAACCAACAGCTAATTCTCTGAATTGAGAAAATGGAGAAAGCACAATGGCCTTCATCTAGGTGCACTGCTGCGGTGAGCCCCATGCGTCTCCTGACAAGCAGTGTGGTTGTGCAGGCTCTCAGGACAGCCGGAGGCGCTTTGCAAAAAAGGTCTACACTCGCAGGTCTGGAAGGTACCCAGTGGGCTCAGGGCTGCACAGCTCGGTTGCAGAGACCGCGGACCAGCCTTTAGTAGGCCTCAGGGTGGGATCTTGGGGGTTTTGTGGGGTCACTCGTTATTGGCTAGTTTGAAGCAGAAAAGTGGGAATGGGGTGTCGGGAGACTGCAGGCAGGGTCACAGAAGCAGTTACCAAGGTAGCTGAGAGCTTTCTGAGCGGGGGACCTCACAGGTGTGGGAGGCCCACTTCCTTCTCTGGTCATTTTGCCTAACAGCTGTGTCCTACGGCTGGCGACACACGTGTTCCAGATGGATGTCTTTGGAAATGGACACCCTGGCGATCAAAAGCTTGATGTCAGGCACACCACAGAGACAGTTTTAAAGTGACAAGGACAAAGTAACAGATACAGAGAAAATTAAAAGCATCATAAGAAATTATGTTCCTCTGGGCAAATAAATTTGGAGGCCTGGATGAAATGAATTAGCTCCTAGGCAAATATTTAAACTGACCAGAATAGGCCTAAAACTTCTGCAAGACAGCTGCCAAGGAGGAAAAGAGAAGGTTGTTGGAGCCTCCCCTAAAGCAGGCTCAGTTCCAGATGGAAAAATCTGTCAACCTTTAAGGGACAGTCAATTCCAAATGTCTCTCAACACTTCCAGGCCAAGAAAAAGAAGCTTCCAAGTTCTTTGTGGAAGAAAGCATAATCTCAACTAAAAGAAAGTTACAAACCAATTTATGAATTACCAGTCCAGAAACCCTAATACCAACAACCCCAAATCCAGCGGCATGTTAAAAGAATAATACACCCAGAGCAATACATACTAGGAGAAGGGATTAAAATCCACCCTCCAGAGTATCCCAGGCAGCAATGGGGCCTGGGACTCACTGCATCCAGGGACCTCACTGGGGCTGGGCGTCTGTAGCTCCTTGGCCTGTGGAACCCCTTCCCTGGTTTCTCTTGGCTGCCAGGTACCTGGGCACGGCCTTGCTTGGTGCCACACCAGAACCTGCAAGCTCGGCACCCCCGCTCGCTGGCCGCTTACTTGCTCACAGCCTGTCTTTCACTGACAGGGCTGCAGACAGAACTCATGAACAGGGCAGCTTGGGTGGGAGAAGCGGGACTGAGCTCCGGCCATCAGCCAGCACCTGCATCCAGGCAGCCTTGGTGGTGGGGCGATGCTGTCTGGCCTGTGCCGGAGGAGTCCAGGGCCGTCCTGCTCTGGGAAGGGGCTTCTAGCTGGCCGGGCTGGTCCCTGGCCCGCCCCAAGCTCCCCAGGAAGGGCAGTCCTGGCCTCTAACTCTCCTGACCTTGACCCCCTCCCCTTCCAGGCCAGCAGCCCAGGCAGCCTCCGGGCCAGGCTACCAGCTCCTCGCTCTGTGCTGGGTTCCCAACCTTCGGATGGGGTGGGTGCTGGGAGACAGACAGCGGGCTGAGGAGAGCCTGGGCTCTGGGGCCGTGTCTGGTATCAGTCCCCCGCAGAGCTGCCCTCCTCCCAGGGTGGGGCCAAGCTGAGAGGCTGCCCCAACAGGGTCTGGGCACCGATGGCCCTGCCCAGACACTCTTCCCAAGTCCCGGGGGCCTGGGGCGAATGGCTTGTTCCATGGGGTTCTGAAAGAGAAGCAGAACCGTGCCTGAAGAAGGGAAACCTGGCTTCTGGCAGGACCTGCTCGGCCCAGGGCCCGGCCCCCATCAGCAGGGTACCTGATTCACTCTCGGAAGCACTGGGGGGGCTCTGTCACATCCAGAAGGCTCTCTCCGCACCCCACCCCCACCTCCCCTGCAACTTCCACCTGGCAGGGCCCTCAGAACCCACCAATCTCACTGGAGACTGAAGTGACAGAATCCCGCGGCAGGGGCTTTGCAACCCCCACGGCCTCAGGCAGTGTGGGGAAAGGGTCTGGCCTTCCTTCCCAGCAGCCCCTGCAGCCCCTTTGGACTGTGGAATTGAGGAGGGAGGAGGGGGCAGGACACAGGACCGCAAGGAGCCCCGGGCTCCCCGAGCTGCTCTCTGCCCCCTCCCCCCCACACCAAACCCAGATGGAACACCCCACCCATGAGCGGGAGATGGTCCCCGCCTCCAGGGAACCCATGCCTGCATCACAAAGGAGGCCCGGAAGCCTCACTCTGGGCCCCACCCGAAGCCCTTGCTCTCCTCCCCCGGGAGCCCTCCCACCTGGCCCCAGCTCACGGAAGCTCTAGGCCATCCCACCCCAGCCTTCTGAGACCTGCCCACAGGGGGGCGGCACTCCTGAGTGACCTGAAGGTGAGCGAGTGTGGGGCCAGCCTGCGGGCCAGCTTTCCTGGGCAGCACCAAGGGACTCCCTACAAGCGCCCAGCCTGTCTCCTGGGCGCCGGGCAGAGTGTTTTGGGTGCAACCTGTACCCAGGGCAGGCACCCCCATACACGCAGAGTTCTCCTCCCCGAAGAACCCCCCTTTCCCTGGCTGGCCACCATAGCCCAGGGAGGCCACAGCAGCCCCCTTTTCTGATTCTCTAGCGCTGGGCTTGGCCCTCAGCCCTCAACAGGAGAGTTAGTGTGAATGCACCTTTCTGCCCTATCGGGTCCCTGGAAGCCAGCAGGACAGAATGAGTGAGTGAGTTCATTAGTTCTGATGGAAGAAAGAACACACTGGTGGGACAGGAGCCGCAGATGGCTAGGCCAAGGCTCAGACCTGTCCAGCTGAATCATTCATTCATTCAGCGTTCAGCAGATGTTGGTAGATGCCTAGTGGGCACCAGTCTGGGTGCTGGGGGCCCAGGCAGACAGAGCCGCCTGCCCCCATGGCATGGACTTTCCCCCCGGAGAGGTGGACAATGGAGACAGAAGGGGCACAGAGGCTGAAACGCACATCCGGTGGTGAAACAGCAATCAGGTCTGGGGTCAGGCTGGCTCTGGTGAATACAGACCCAGGGAAGGCTTCACTGGGAAGGTGACCTTCAGCAAGGACTTTTAGAGAGTGAGCGGGGAGCAGGCAGGAATCTGGGGGAAGGGCAAAGCCCCCGAGGAGGGGTCTGTCTGGAGGTGGGGTGGAGAGGACGGTAGGGGTGCAGAGAGAGGTGACAGGGGGCCACGGGGGATCCTGAGATCAGAGCAGGCCTGGCTTCTCTCAAGTCAGGTCATGGGGAAGGTGAGGCCCAGATCCCTGGGTGTTGGCAGGTAAGAACCTCTCACCCTCCCCCCACAGGGCAGGACTGGGGTTGCACTCCTCAGGCTTCTCCCAAACTGTTGGCCCACCTGGTGCAGGGTAGGCGCCAGGGCTCCAATAGCAGGTGTGTGGTGTGTGTGAGGACCAGGAGTCTGACACAGGGAAGAGGGGCCTGCTGCGCTCCAGCTACATAAGCAGCCTTCTGGGGCAGGGGTCCGCGTGCCAGCAGCAGAGGCACGCGCACACAGGTGTGCATGCTCACACATGCACACTTAGGAGCACACGCGCACGCATGCACCCACTTGCATAAGGGAGCACACAGAGACCCCAGAGCCCGTCCTGCAAGCAGCACTCCCTCTTCTGCACACAGTGGCAGCCCCGAGTGTCCTCCACGGCTACCCGTGGGGAGGATGAGGAAGGGAGGCACAGGAGCGGCCCATCAGGTCACCGCAAGAGCCGGCCCTGCCGGTTCCTTCCTAGCCTTCTGCTCACTGCCTGCATGGATGCAGGTCCTTCTGCTCTCCCCCCTGCCCACTCCTGGGCTCTAGGCAGGAAAGGTGGGCAGGGGGCCCAGTGGCCCACACCACCTCCCAGAGGGTTTTCCTGACCCGGCGCCCGGCCCGGGCCCGTAGCTCCCAGACCCGTCCCCACCCCCTGGCGCTAGGGCCTCCGGCAGGCTCCGCTGCAGGAGCCCTTGGCAAGCATGGGAGCTGCGCTGGCTGGGTCCCTAGTGCCCACCTCCAGCTGTGAGCAGAGGGGTCCCTGGGCCTCCCCTCCAGAAAGCGGGCTCAGAGAAGCCGGCCTTGGGAAGAGGCTGCCACCATGGCCGGCACGCTGGGCACCCGCCCCCCCTCACCAGTGCCTCGGGCACTCAGAGACTCTGGCCCAGGGACAGTGCCGCCATCCGGAGACACAGGCTGAGGGCCGGGTGTGGACTTGGCAATGGGAGAGGAGCCACAAATGTCCTCAAAGGACCAGCACCTGCCCCCAGCCAGCGTCAGGCCTCCGGGCCTCGGGCAGGGCCTCAGGGGCTCCACACGCGTCTCCCTTGCCCTGGTGACCCCACCCTGGCCACACACAGCCCCTGCCCTTGGCCTTGGGGTTTCTCAGCTGTGCACTTTCCCCGCTAGAGACTTGGTGATGGGGAAGCCCGAAAGCCCAGTAGGGATGGTGGAGATTGCCGGCTGGTCGGGGCAGAAGCACCGAGGCTTCCTGGAGGGGGGGCTGCTGCTGCTACTGGTGCTGGTGACTGGCGCCCTGGTGGCCCTGGGCCTCCTCCACGCCGCCCACAGCAGAGGTGAGTGAAGACGTCCCCGCCCCGCCCCCCCCCCCGGGCCTGCGTGCCCGCCCACCCTGAC